CTCTGCTACGAGTGCGGCTCACCCGACCATCGTGCCCGCGACTGCCCGGAAGCAAAGGGTCGCAACAAGGGCAAGAGCAAAGGCAAGGGAAAGAGCCAGTATCCAGGAGGCTGGCAGAGCAGCTGGAACCAAGGATGGGGAGGTTCCTGGGGCTCCGGTTCATGGGATTGGAACCGCTCCGGACGATCCTCGTGGCAGGGCGAGGCTGCCTCATCATCTTCCTCCGACTGGTGGTCCTCGTCCAAGGGAGGCTGGTGGAACCGCTGAAAAGTCATACAGAGAAGGGAGAAAGAAGCCGAGAATATCGTCTCGCCATGCGGACCGGAAGGTCACGCCGGAAACCAAATTCGTTGGTGTGATACTTTCAATGTCCTCATGAAGCGAGCGGGAACGCTCTGCCGTAGACCCTTCAAGCAGCTAATTTTGCATTTTAATTCAATGGTTACTGCGATCTGTGTACGCTTTTCTCGAGCATGGAACGGTAAGAGTTCCCGGTGAGACGAGCGTGCCGGAAGGCATAGCCGTTGTACTTGTGAGAAACCTCATTGCTTATCGCAATTTTTGAGGTCGTTTGCCATAGCTGCTCAAGCGAAGACTTGTCGCATTCTCCGCATCAGTGAAAAGAGATCGATTGCCTCGATTTTGCTTTCATCTTGCATGATTAAGTAGGAGCTTGATTGCATTCGTGCCGACATGCCACATTCGTAAGCAGTAGTTCGAGGGTTGTAGTGCGGTTTGATTTCATCGCCGCCTGAGGTTGATACGTGGACACTGATCGACTTCCTCTTCGGTGCACCGCGGCAAAGCCGCTTCGCGCCGCGGGGGGTGTTTTTACTAAGTGTTCCACGTATTCTATGTATAATATACCTCCTGACCCTCGCACTTTGGCTCAAGAAAAAGGTGGGCGTTATTGGCTGACTTCCTGTAAACATAGATAGGTTGTGGCGGCCTAAACGGGTGAGTCTCCGAGTTGCTACCGCCATACGATCTTTCAGACACCCAAGAACACACTGCTTAGTGTATTGCATTGTGCATCCCAAATCTTTTGCTGCATGACGGACGGGGATTTCTACGGGAGATGCTGAAAAGGTGATGCATGTGACCCCAAAAGTCCCGCATGGGTTTTGTTGTTCCCCACCCCCAAGACTTACGAATGTCGACCTTCATGCGAAGGGCATGCGTGAAATTAAGGGTGGTTTGCATGGCTCGAAACAAGTTTCTCTCGGAGGTGGAAAGGAACGTCCAGTTGTCAGCGTATGTAAACGGTGTGACGCGAACTTGGGCCATATGATGAAAAAATGTTGCTGCAATTACCAGCATGGCGCACACCGAGAGGGAGTCCCCTTCCGGGGCACCCGTAGTAGATGAGTAAGATGGACTGAAACCCTGTCGAGTCTGAAGCATGCGCCGCATTTGATTTAGGGAACGTATCCAAACACTTACAGCAGCATCTGGCGCTCCAAAGTGGATGAGGAGTTGACGAGCAATTTGGCGGGGAATTACATTAAAGGCTTTTATGAGGTCCAATGTGAATCCACCATAGGGTGTATTAGTGGAATGAGCCTTTTCTAGGATATACTGTTGCTGCATGGTGATGTCTTTAACTGCGCGAAAAGGGAGACCACCAGCGATCTGTGGGTCCCAGGTTTTTCCCCATTCACGCAGCAACTGATCGGCCACAAGTTTAGAGGTAAGTCGTGGAATATATCCTAATATCGTGATCGGTCGGCCATCGGAGAAGGTCTCCGGATTAGGAACTTTTGCAAGAAGGATTACTCTGGCTAACATCTGTGTGGCTGTCAATTTAGTTGGCCAGATCACATGGAAGATAGATGCAAGATCCTCAATTGCCCCAAAAGGAAGCATCTGGAGCTCCTGTGCTCTCCAACCATCCACACCAGGTGCCTTAAAAGGTTTTATTCTTTGTATCGTTGCACGGATCACGTGAGGATCATCCCACACAATCGGAATTGGTTCACGTGGGGGAATTGGGGGAAGAATATCCTGCAATGCCTCTGACCACTGAGATAAATCTGTGGCCTCACGTTCTGTATCCCGTTGCCACATTGGCTGCCAAAACGAAAAGAAATGTCTAGACAAGGTATCAATATCTTCGGTATATATACCTTTTTTGTGTGATCACAGCTCGCAGTGGCACAGTTTCTTGTGGGGAGGCAATAATGATCAATCGGTCCTTTTGAGATTGTATTTGAATTGGTATATCTGCATATTGCGCATTGCCGACTCGAAATTTTGTGTCATCTGTCACAAGTAGGCGAATGCTTCCCTTAGAGAGTCGAATCAATTTGGCTTCCGCCTGAATATCGCATGGTATTCTCGAGATGACTTTCTGCTCTTTATCCCGCAAATCCTTATATACCAGGGACCCGTTCTTATCGGTGCTGTCTTGTTGTATTAAATGCTTTCTGGCGGCTCGACGAATCTTTTCTTCTTGACGGACTGAAAGATCGGTGTCATATTTAGTGATCTGAAGAAACGTATGGAGCAAGGAGATATCCGGAACTCTGGTAGGTACCAGCGGTATACACTCGAAACTCAGGACCCAACCTTCCCAGGAATGACCAAAACCCTGTGCCAAACGGATTCTGGACCATTCTTGCTGTAGAAGTTGTTGCTCAGCACTGGGTATCTGTTCCCATGATTGATGTTTCAAGAGTTTCCTATTGACCTGGCGAAACAAAGAAGCCAAGCGGCGAGTCTGGCGAACCTTCTGACAGGTCTTTAGAGATGTTGGCTCACCTTCGGGCGAGTAGCTATTGGTCGGATCTGATTTCACGCTTCTAAAAATTGATCTTTTCTCGAACTTTGGCGGCTGACAGCGTCCCTGAAAGCGAGACGGGAGGTTCTTCTGTGGAAACTTCACAGGGTCACGAAAATGCTGCACTTGGATTGTGCGATTTAGTGCTTTTTCCACTGTGCGGGACCACATTTGCATTTTTTGTTCAGCGGAGGTCACGGAAGAATGAATGAAGGCCGAAAGACTTTCATTACGAGCAGTTATCTGGTATTGATGAGAAAATTCGTCGGAAGAAACTGGAAAACACGACCAATCATTGGGCACGTAGAGGGAAGATGACAAATGGGAGTGGCTGTCACACTGCACCCGTGCATAAATTGGGGAATGATCAGAAAACAGGTGAGCAGGGCCAACCCACATGTCAACTATCATTTCAGCAATGATCGGATGGAAAATGAAGGAGTCAAAGCGTGTGGAATTGCGGCATGTGGGCGGTAATTCCTTGTGCAATTTCTGGTGTGCCAAATCAAAACCCTCAACGCAGTGAAGGTGTTGAAATGCCTTCCAAGCCGTCAAATTTTGAATACGCTGATTAAAATCCCCCGCGATGATAAAAGGCATTGAGGTCTTGGCAACAAAATCGTAAATGTGTGTCAGCAGAATATCATTGAGAGTCTGTGCTTCAGTTGTTCTTCCAGAAAAGAAGTATGTACTCACGATTAACCCCTCTGTGGCCCCCAACATACATACACAGGCATTGAATCTGCATGACTGATATAACAGTTCCATGTCGACGATGCGCGGGAGTCTGGAGGATAAACGCATCATGATGGCTGTACCCAGGGCATCACCTCGTCTGGGGGGTTTCTGGTCCCTCAAAACGGATGTCTTTACTTTGTCATCCACGGGTTTTCCCCATCTGACAATGTACTTTGTTGGGGTCAAAGATTGGGTGAACTCGTATTGGATCAGCGAGGTTGCAGACGTTTCCGCAAGACAAAGTATGTCAGCGTCGAGCGATTCCAGCAGAGCCTTTTTGCTAGCCACCGCAGTTGGGTTAACTAGACACACATCGATTGCTGGACCCGGGTGCAAAGCTTCACCAAAACGAAAAGCCAAAAAAGGGTTATGATCAAGTGGACACATGGAGAAAAAGAGTCGAAATTGAACTTGTATGCAGGATTGGAACAGTATTTGCTCACAAAGCATAAGAATGGGTCCAAACCGGCCAGCCGATAAACCGCTGAAGCTCGAATGATGTGATGTGATTTGCATTGAATTGGTATTGCGACCTTGTTGGTACCAAAAGCTGAAAGGATCAATGTCATTCTTGTTGCAAACAACATATTTCCAAAGACCACATGGAAATCCAACAAGGTATATCATGGCAATGGTGAAACCGAATGCATAGCAACAAAGCTGTCACGAATCCGCCTGCAAGGCTGACGGTTTTATGGTTTTTGCACATCGCATTTCATGTTGAAAAAATGCTTCAAGCATCCCGCTGGCTGCAGTAGAAATGCCCGTTTTGTACACCATTTTTTAAAACATTTTTTTGTCCAAACACTGCCAACGGTCTACCACCATGCTACTGTATTACTTTACGGGTGTGCTTTCATCTCCCCAGTCCAGGTGTAGCTTCAAGATTCTGGCACATGTCTTTTCATGGTGGTAAACGTGTCAAAATAGCCCAATGCTACCACAAAAGGCCGCAGCAACAGTCAAGCTTGCAATTTCCTCTAGACTCTACACTCGATCTCAAGCTTGCCGTAGTGTTTGTTTGAATGCATCACGTGGCACCACGCATGCTTCGCATGCCTTCGCAGGTCCCTTGTTGAGGTAGTGAGCTGCAAGGAGGTTTCTGTGATCGATTGCATCTCTTGAATCACCGAACCAGCGAACGTCAACACTTTGGCCCAACCCCCCCACCTCACCCACTCCCCCACCCACCCCACCCCATGTGCATGTGTGTAATCATCATAACCATTTGAGGATCAGCTTCTGTTGCCTGCATTATGTGCGTAATCATTGCAATCATCCTAGTCATCCTACGTTGCCTTTCTACCTCAAATCACAACATTGAATCTGGTTGCTGAGTTCTAGAGTGGACTTGAGTGGACTTGCTTCTAGCATTGCTTAAAGTCCGCGGAGAGCCTCTGGTTTGCAGCCACATGTGAGCCACAACAAACTGCATAGGGCACAGTGGAGGTGGGAAAAGAGAAGGCGTCAAGACGACTTCCAGGTTGAACGCTTTCAACGATCATGTTCGATCTGGTGGGGCCAGCTGCTTGGGAGGATCCCGATTGCGGGTGATTTGATGGTGTGCGTTCATTCTGTGATTCTGCTGACATGTTGGTATCAGTTTGCCGTTGCAGACTTGAGGTGGGCGCGTGGTTCCCGGAAGGTCTCATGAATCGAGGAGATCCAGAGATCCTTCAGGCGCCGTACGGTAGCTTTGCAGATTGCCATGCAGAATGAACAATTTCCATGTAGTTTGGAGCTTTTGAGTTGGGGGGGCAGTCATAGATGCGCTGGACCACTTTGAATTGTTGAGAGGAATTTCGAGCTGGCGCCTTCGCAGTTCCTGTAAAAACCGACGCTTGACACTCAGACTTCCAAGAATTTGCGGCAACATGCTGTAGCATTTGCTGATGGTATATAGTTGCTTTGTGGCAGGTTGAGATTTGGTGTATTGCTGCTGTTGGCTGCAATGCCGCAAGCTAAGCTTTGGTGTGTGAGGGCTAGGAAGGGCGGTAAGGGGAAACATTCTGAGGTTTGTTGGCCGGTGAAGGCTGCCGTTGGAGGACTTCCTGCCCGCATAGGGCTGAAGGCGATCTCTGACTGATCAGACCTCTTCGATGTACGGACATGTGAGCACCGTCATAAACCTTTACGACAGAATTTAGCTAGGACTTAAGATTATGATTCCCCTTTGCTGATACTTATTCTTGGGCGTAATTATATAAGTAGCAGAAACTCTTTGAAATGGTTAGCGAAAGAGGTTTTTGGGTGAAGTGGGTCGGCGAAAGCAAAACATGGAGCGACGAAAGCGTTGCGAAGGGATTGGCGAACGGTTTTTACAATCTTAATGACAGTTCCGGATGGTTTTTGACAGCGCTCATGTAGCAGCGCAGCTTTCGCCATTGGAAGGTCTTCCGCTTAACAGACAGCAGCCACAAACTGATCGAGGATTTGAAGGATTGTGATGAGCGCGCCAAGGCACTTACGGGTCCGGTGCCTGTCCCCTAATTTGAGCTGTGCCGAGTGGCAGGCATTGCACATAGCTGGCCTTGCAAAGAGCGCTGTCCAGGCCCTGCTGCCTTTTTCTGTTTTGTTTCCAGCACCGTCCAGTCAGGACTTTTTGTCACATGGAGCCAGGAAGGTGTCAATGAGTTGGTGGCCAAAGGTTTCTCCGCCAACCCTGGAATGGCCCAAGCCTCAACTGGCGAAAGCGACGAGCAGAGAGTGCTGAATATGTGAGCACATAGCTGTCAGTAGAATGTCTCGGCATTTGATCATACGATTCCGTTCCGCTAGTCCATAGTTTGAAAAACAATTTTCATCGGGCAACCCGATCATCCCACCCAATGTTGTTTCAGGTCAAGCGCAGCTGATGCAGCTCCCCGCTTAAGGTGGCCACGGTCTGCTTCGCTCATCGGTTCATGAAAAATGAGCCCTGGGTTTCTTAGTCACATGGATCACACGTGCACCAAGTTTGGTTTTCTTGGTTGTACATCCGGTCCCGCAGCTGTTTCAGACAGTAGATCAGATGTTTCCGGTTAACTCCCTGCATGGGAGCAGCACATTGCAGCAACAGCTGCTACTCCAAACAAGATGAGAGAAGACAAGAAGATGTTGAAGAAACTTGCTCGCACACGATGTGCTTTCTGTGTATTTTCGCACTGTCGGCTTTGCAGCCGACAAGCATGCTAAGGATGGGATCCAGTCGGTTGCTTCTTCGATAGTTGAAGTCCATGAGATCCTGGAGTTCTTGCAGAAGGCAGGGCTGGATAGGGATAGGGGGTTTATCGATTCCTCATGAAGCAACTAAACCAAATGCAAATAGAAAGACTGGAACTTGCTACAATCGAATGTGTTTGTCATATGATGTGCTAACGTGTCGCAAAGTGGGCAGGTGCAGCTCTTCAAGCGCTTGCCAGAAGATGACCTGCCTTCCTTGGCACCAGTCTGTGAGGTCAAAGAATACCTTCCAGGTCAAAGACTCAAAGACTGAGACTCTTAGATCAGGTTATTGTAGTTGAGTCATGTTGAGTTTATATTGACTGGCGCTTGTTCTCTCTGCCCCAGCTGTCAATATCCTCACCAAGTACGTGCGTTACCGAGGCGATGTCGTCATTGAACAAGGGGACGAGGGACACGAGCTCTTTGTCATCAGGTCACGTGTGTTATCGATGCAGATCCCAACTGGAACTGTAGCTGCACAGGAACCTGCCCTGAATCATTTGCACATGGAGACGCCTGATGTTTTTTCAAAGGTGAGAGTGCTTGCTCCATCCATCTCTCTCTCTCTCTCTCTGTCTCTGCCTCTCCCTCTCTCTCTCTCTCGCTCCCTCTCTCTCTCTCTCGCTCTCCATCTCCCTCTCCCTCTCCCTCTCCCTCTCCCTCTCCCTCTCCCTCTCC